TATATATATGCAATACTATTGATATATGTACACACAATTGATAGTGTGCGGGACAGTTGTTTTTTTGTTGTTGTTTTTTTGGTTTGGTCTGTTTTCCTACACACCTATCTATTACCTGCAGGTGTGTGAGGTTAATGGTTCATTTTTAACATTTGGTTTGCCTTACAACAATATTTCCATTTTCTTTTTTAAACTTTTACTTAACCATTTCTTTTTTTCCTGAAGGAATTTATGTAATTGATTGATTTTATCATGAGAAATAAAAAAGTTCATGTGTTCTTTCAGTATATTTATCTTCCATTTCCTCACAAATACACACTTTAAATAAAAATATCTATTTTTAAGTATCTTTTTATTTTAATCTGTGGAAAACGGCATAGGCCTATAATGGCATGCCAGGGTTGCCCATGAAACAAAATACCATAGTAACAATTAACCATTCATTAATTAAATTAATTAATGTTATTGAAAAGAAATGACAGGTTATTAGTGTTTGCAGGTAAATACGTTTTAATACATTATGACTTTACAACATGGTGAAAAACACACGTAAAATTGTTCGAGCACCTCTCCTCTAGATGGCAGCAGCGAGTTCTCGTTTCCGCTCAGCAAATCTAAACATCCACAGAGGAACATACACGTTTCCGCCAAAGGCAATATGGTGGACTTGCTATCATCATTAGCGCCCTGCATAAATCTAAAAATCAGTCTGTACAAACTCTCCTAGAGGCCTTGCACTACATCACCATGTTTAAGAAAGCCAAGAGGTGCAATTTCAGACGGAGGAATGACTCGGAAGATGAGGAGAAAGAGGTGGGCCAGCAGTCCGGCGGGCCCCGGGCTGAAGACTTGGCGAACCCGAGTGAGTCCACCAGCACCGGCCCCGCTCCTGGAGCAAACATGCTGAACAATCACGGAAACGGGTTTCAGCCCGGTGCTGTTAAGTCCAACAAAGAGAAAAAGAGAAAGAAGGAGGACCGAGACCGAGAGGAACCGAAAGCGAGTCTGCTGAGCTTCCACGATGATGAAGGTGCCTATTGAGCTGCCATTGAAGACATATGCGACTTAATGAGTATACATATGAAAATATAACATCTCACAAATGATTCGTGTAGAGTTTTGCAGTGTTTTTCGCCGTCTAATTGCAGTCTATTGAAATTGTGAAACAGTTCGTGTCATTAAAGTGACCGTCACTAAACTGAAAAACACGAGCTACTTAGCATATTATATTAGGTAACGTTAGTAATAGTGACCAATTAGGACGCTGCACATATTTGAATATAGCAAATGATTGGCTAAAGACCAATGAGCTTAGGGAGAATATGGAAATATTGGAGTATTTTAAAACTGCTTAAAAAATTAATAGTTTTTATTTTTTAAATGTCCAGTACATATCCAGTAATCATAAAAAAAGAAAAGGTCATGTAAATTCATTGGTCAGAATGTGTGTAATTTTTGAAAAATACTCCTGTGAATCCCGCAGATAATTTCTTGAATATCATTATATATCTGACACTATTAGATGAGGCCGAAGTGTTCCATGTGAAGAAATCCAACCACAGCAAGAAGATTGTCAAGCAGCTGAAGAAAGAATTCAAGGAGGATTTGGAAAAAACTGGCAGTGCCACGCAGGATCAAAACAC